CAAGAATGATGGAATAAGTGTGTTCAAAGGAAGGAGGAGTATTTTGAGGGAAATTCATGGAAATGTGGTGTAATATTACTATAATAATATTTTTTAATTTATACATTCACCATATATTTTGATCACACCCCCACCCCAAACCTTAGATTTCACAAAGATCCATTCAAGCTGGAGCTGTTATAGAGAGTACTGGGAGAAGTGAGCTCGACTTTGCAGGAGAATTTGAGACGAGCTTGTGAGACCTACATGCTCACCCATGCCCCTGTATTTCTTATCTCTTCCCTGTCACTTAAGCTCAGTGCTCCTTGGCTGTGCTGGCATTTCATTCCTCAGTCTTGAGGACACCAAGCTTGTTTATGTTCTTGAGACTTTGCACTGGCTGGGCCTCCTGCCTGAAAAACTCTACCCTCACCTATTCCCAACCCTGATCCTTTGTCAGTGCTCCTCCTGGATGCCACCTCTGCCATGCCCACGTGCCTACAGTATAGCAGCCCAACCCCCAGCCACTCACTGCTTTGCTGCATCTTATCTTCATCCTAGCACATATCCTTCCTGAAATTATCCTGCTCCTTGCTTGCTGTGCCTGTCGCCTGTCTCTTCCAGCTCGCTTCTAGGATACAAACTCCATGGAATGGGATCAGTATTTGTACTCCTCAGTGCTGGCACATAAACAATTGAAAACACTTGCAGAACGAAGGGAAGAAGGGAGGGAGGCAGGAGGAGATGGAGGCATGCCCCTCTGGTGGAGGTCTATTCCCCCCCATTCTGTGGCTATGGGACTGTGGCCTTCTTAGAATGACCCGTCAGTCTGCACTCTTGGCACTATTTCAGTTAAGAAGCCCCCTTGTCCAGGAAAATGAGGATGATGGCACTTGATCTCAGTCATTCCTTCACTAGTGTGGGTCCTTTGAACTTGTGAAGGATGCTGTCTTAGTTACTTTTCTCTCCTTACTGAGACAAAATACCCAATATCCAAACTTCAGGAAGGAAGGGTTTATTTAGCTCACAGTTTGTGGAGGTTTCAGTACATAATCAGCTGGCTCCAAGACAGGGTGGCATGGCATGGGGGCAACAGTTCATGACGGTGGAAGACAGCAAAAGCAACAAGAGCAAAAGGGGAGGAACAATCCTCTCTTCTTCCCTTATATTGTAAGCAGGCTACCCACCCTCCGGCAGGTATAGCACTCACACAGTCTCCGTGCCCTCCTCTTACACAGGCTCAGGATGTTTACAAAGTGAGGATCCTGGCCCCTGCTGAGTCACTTAGTTAAACTCTTAAACTTCTCAAGTTGACACAATGAACAACGTCCTAGAGGAAAGGGCATGTCCCTTACACACTAGGATGTAGAACTGCTGAGTTACTTAGTTAAGCTTCTAGACTTCTCAAGTTGACACAATGTATCAACCATGATAGACCCCACATGGTTTAAGCCATAGATGGGCTGTGTCTGAAATAATAGATGAGGAGTAATCTAATAATAGATTACTATTCCTCATTTTATCAAAGATAAAGCTCTCTATTGGAGTATTAGTGCCTAAACATAAGCATTAGAAAGCAAGCAACCATTCTTTCTAATTTATAGCTGTTGTACAACTCCACTTGTATTGAACTGCTTTTATTATGTTTTCTTTAGTGTTTGTTGGGTCTAACTGCCTCCTAAGATGCTTGCTCAGCGGCAGGCCCTGCCTCACCTAACATCAGCAAGTGCCTGGGCCCCTTCTCTCTGCCCCTGCTTCCCTTCCTACAAAGATTTGCAAAGGCCTAAGCTGCCATCACCAGTAATTATGAAGGTTTTCTCAGAAAGCTGCAGGTTTAACCTTTTCTTTCCATTTTTCCAAGTCTTTTCTCTCTGAATTGCAGACATGGCCACTTTTGCTTGACTCAGTCACAATAGCAACTGCTGCCATAATTACCCTTTCCTTCCCATCAAAAGGGAGGAACAGCTCATTCTTTGGGCCCCTTACAAAAGAGTGTGCTTTCTTCTAAAACTATGTACCTTGGTAATTTGTCCCTTTTGCTTTGGAGTTAAAAATAAAAATGGGCTCAATTATAGCAATTTTACTGGCCCTTATGGTTCAGCAATAGTGTGCTGCTTCTCCAAAGTCATGATTTTCTGTGTTTTTACATTTTTCCTAAAACTGATCTCTGTATTATTTTCTGGGTACTCTTGTCATCTGATATCTCCAGGTATGTGAATAATGTGTTAATATCCATGCCCCTTCCCAACAGAAGTCACTTTGGTACCACTCAGGAGCCACTATCACTTGAAAAGGCTGTTGAATAGAAAGGTATACAGATTAAATACTTCTCAGTTGGTTTCCATAGCAACAGTTACAGACTGTCTCTAGTAAAGGCCCAAGATTTTAGCCTAAGCTAAACAGAAATTTTCCACATTTTTTTCATAAGTAGTATTAGCTAATCATTTTGTCTTTAATCTCTAATATCTCCCTGAGAGCAGAGCAACACTTACGAACTGTACATCAATGTGGAGAAATGGCAAGGGTCAGATTCATCATCGGTGACCTTCCGCGCACCAAGCTAATTGTTCAAATATAATTAGCTAAGCCAGTAATGCATTTCTAGCATGATCGGATCTGGTGATGAGTCACCTGCCAGTTGAAGGAAAACAAGACTGTTCTCAGCATTTCTCATCTCCTAAGAAATCCTTGTTACTGTGGTGATTTGATGCTTTTCAGTTAAAAAGTAAAAGCTCGACATTTTATACCAGCATAATTAATAAACACCAACTGTATCAAATGTGAAGGGTGATAAGGTGGCCAAGAGTACAGTTGTTCAGTCCTGAAGTCGCTAAAACTCCCATCCTAGAAAGAGAGGTGCCATGCGATAGCAGTCAGCACTCTGCCCACCAGAGCTGGAACTTGGGGCAGGTTCTGAAACCTGACTTTCCCCATTTGTTAAGTGGGAGTAACAATAATAGCACCACTCTACTGCACGGATCAAGTGAGGCAATGTTTATAAATCTTTTCAAACAGTGCCTGCAAGCTGGGCGTGGTGGTATACAACCCCTATAACCCCAGCACTTGGGAGGCTGAGACAGAAGGATCCCTATCTCAAGGTCATCTTGGACAACATAGCAAGACCTTATCTCAAAAAAAAACCTACCTTGCACACAGGAATAACAATATAAGAATGTGTGAAATTAAACAAATGCTGCATAGTGAAGCTTAGACTTTAAATATCTTTCAGGATAAAAACCCACAAACTACTATTTTCAAGTCCATACATTGTAGCATCTTTTCAGCCTGATGTTTCTAAATATAAACTTTCAAATTATATAGAAAAGGCATAACTTAAAGTGCAAATACTAGTACTTTCTTAATGGAACACCTAGCATCACCCCACAGACTACATAATATTTAGAAGTCTATGTCTACCGTGTGTATTATGATAGACAGTTTTCTTAACATGTTAGAGTGTAAATTCACCTATTAGTAATTATAAAATTTATGAGATTATGATTTCAAAAGTTAAACTAAAAGACTTGAAATCCAGCTTCTGTTGTTGAGCTGTGTGTCCTTTGCAAAGTTACCTAAGCTCCCTGAGCACTTGCTTTTCATCTGAGAAATGCAGCAAAATGGATGGGGTTGGGGCACTGGTGAAGTAAGTTCCTCCAAGCAAATTTCTCAGCATAGTTGCATGATTAAAAATGAAATATTGAATGAAATAATGGTTAATCAGTAAGTAGACAGCATCTAAATATTAAATACCATTTTATCTTCTCATTGTCAACCTGGCCAATCACAGGGAGCCCTGGTCACTACATCCCTGCCACCACTACTGGCTCTTGTGTCTTCAACTTGCTGCCATGTTGATCTGGAATTCTCCCCAAATTTACTTAGACTTTATCTTCTCTGTTAGGAGCATGTTGAGGGCAAGAACCAACCTTCTTCCCTTCTTGGCCTCTCATCATTAGCCCTTGTGCACTGTTAGGATGGCCACTATGCATTTTTTTCACCAAGTGGAGGAGGAATGAAATTCAGTAGGAACCAAGTTGAGTCCATGTTTAAGTGGAAAATCTGCAAGGAAGGAAAGAGAAATTCATAAAGAAGCTTTGTAAAATGGAGTGTAATGCCCTGATCAACTTGAAAGAAATGACTGTGGCAAGAAAAAAAGAGGAGGACACTAACAACATTCTCTGCTGTGGTCCTCATAATTAGGGGCTTAGGGTAGCACCCAGCAAAACAAGAGGGAAAGAACCATTTGGATAAGTAGTAGCTATGGCAGGTAAGTGGAGCAACCAAAATCCAAAATGCTCATGGGAGACGGTCTCAAGAAGGGTGTGTGTATGTGTGTGTGTGTGTGTGTGTGTGTGTGTGTGTGTGTGTGAGTGCATGTGCACACAAGCACAAAGGTCAACAAATACAAAAAACAAGAAATTCAACCAGATTTTCATGAGGGCAACATTGGAAGCTTTCAGACAGAAGCAGATCAGTGAAGGCTGAATCTAAATTAGGAGGGGATCAGAAAGACTTAGTGACTGGAAAGAGGAATTGGAAAGTAGATGTTGCTGGTATCGACCACTAGTTAAGAGGAGAGATGGGCTGAGAGAGAGTAGAAGATGGAAGGCTCAGAGCAGGCATCAGGAAAGCATAAAGCATTCTTGAGTCTGAAACGATAATTAAAAATGAGTGCCTGAAAGGCTCAGATACAGCCGCTTCCAATCCCGTGACAGTTTTATTCCTGACCCGGCTATTGTCACTATGAGAAAACCCAGAACTAGCAAAGAATCAGAGCCAGTGGTTTTCACCTTTCTTAACACCTCAGGTGTTTTGTAAAGATCGAGACATGGGTTTGCATGCATAAAAAATATTTTCAAACCAATGATAGTAAAATGCTATTATTGCAAAGTCAATACCTTAAGATTTTATAATTATCACTGTTACCTCTACCCAGGGTCACACATACACACACAAAAAAGGAAAAAAAACAAAACTTATGATTATATAAAAAGTGAATCATGTATTTTATGTCTAACTAGGTTCCTCAAGATGAGTGGACAGGGTACACCCCTCGAAGGAAAGACGATGAAATTCCTTGCCGAAGGATGCGCAGTGGCAGCTATATCAAGGCCATGGGGGACGAGGACAGCGGGGACTCAGACACAAGTCCCAAGCCTTCTCCCAAAGTGGCTGCCCGGAGAGAGAGCTATCTCAAAGCTACCCAGCCTTCCCTCACCGAGCTCACCACACTCAAGTAAGTAGTACTTCCGGTACTGACGCAGCACTTCCGGTAGTCTATTCCGTGTGTTGTCGCTATTAGACTGTGTGGCTCCAGAGGTTGGCGGGGCAGGAAAACATCCTACAGGTTAGGATTCCAGGAGTGGGCAAAGCCCTAGATGGTGTATTGATTTTGATGTTGGATCTGATTTGTATACCCCAGTGTCTTCCAAAACAGGGGTGTCCAAGAATGCACTGCATGGATCATAAGCTGAACACCTAGCTCCCAAGAAGAAGGTTTGAAACAATACAAAATGGCTTATGAAAATGAATAAGATTTCTGGTCAATAAGAACTTTCACCTATCTCAGTTCTTTCCATTTGTTCAGCAACTAAATGTCCAAGGGAACCCTTCCTTAAGAGACTTCCGTTTTCCGGATAACATAATGGAGACAATTATTATGGAGAAGTGTGTAGAATATTCTCATGCTTGAAAACTGGGTGACTTGCGAGGGGTTTTCATGTATGTGTTTGAACTTGTAATATATATTACAATTTGTAAGACCTTAAAAGTGGGTTTTCATTCTGAAAAATATAAGACAATATTGACAATAATTCATCTTTGCCTCCTCTTGTGCTCTTTGTAAACAGAACAGCATTTGCAAGAAACTACTAAAATTGATTATTTTATGCAAGACTTGACTTAAATTTTAATACTGTTCTGAGAGTAAATCAGAACCTTAGAATGTGGATCTACAGAGAGAATCTCATTTGGACCTTAAAAATATAGTATAGATAACTAGTATTTTAAAAGTGCTTCTGATTCCATATTTTGATGAATGTGTGTTATTATTCATGTGTGTATATTATTTTATAAAGTAAAATGTTAAGAAAACAAAATAAACTAAAAAGGCCAAAGCAGTAGAGTGAAGAAAAACAGACCAGATTGTTAATCAAGAAAACTGAAAAAATAGCAGGCTATTCTATGATGGGAATTTACTTAAATAGCAAAGTACATTATATTTAAAGAAACTGGACATGAATTTTTTTCCAAGGGACCATATGGAACCATTCTGGGTCATTTTAATCAAGAATTAATACCAGCTGGGGATAGTGGTGCAAGCCTGTAACTCTAGAGGCTGAATCAAGAGGGTTGCTAGCTAGTTCAAGGCCAGCCTGAACTAGGTAGCAAGCCTCAGTCTCAAAATAAAATCAAATCAGAACAGCAGCTCAGTGATACAACACTTGCCTACCATGCATGAGGCGCTGGGTTCAACCCCCAGTACCACAAATAACAATAACAATAATGATAGTGATAACAATACCATCAATACAGTAGTAAAGTAACCCACAAAAGGACTCTTTTCTTTCTTTCCTTCTGATTCCAGTTGTCCTTGCTTTCCACCTTTATGCCCTAGTTTTCTAGGATTATCATAACAAACTATCAAAACTGGGTGGTTTGGAATAATAGAAATGTTTCACAATTCAAGGAGCCAGAAGCCTGAGACAGGGGTGTAGACCAGGCCATGCTGCCTCTGAACCCTGTAGAGGACGGGTCTTCTTGGTCTTTTCTAGACTCTGGTGTGGCCAGCAGTGCTTGGAGTTCCTTGCTGGCAGCTGCAACTCTGCCATCCCTCCTGTGTGTCTTCGTGTGGCTTCTCTCATGACCCCAGGCATTGCACTGGGACCTTCCTGAGGGCATCATCTTAACGTGGTTAAATCTGCATAGACCCTTTTTCCAAACACTGTACCAGAAGGTCACATTCACAGACTCTGGGAATTAGGGTGTCAGTGTATGGATTTGAAGGACATAATTCAACCTGTACCATAGCCACACAAGGTAAAAGTTGATCATGCAAACAATAATAGCAGCAAATCTTCTTTGCACTTTGCAAGTTTAGGCTCAGAAATTAAATATATCCAGCCTGAAAAGAATTGGATTTGTTAAAAAGACAGTGAGCCAAGGTGGTAGGAAATGACAGAAGCCAAGAATCATTCTGACAGATATCTTCTGTGGACCTTAGTTAACTATCTGGCCAGCAGTGACAGCCATGGTGCCAACTGACATCATCTAGACCAGGGATGGCGAACCTTTTAGAGCTTTCAGTGAGAACAAGCAGCCTGCTTCCGCCCGCGTGCCACAGGCTCACCACCACTGTTTCTAGACAATGCAAATGAAGGAAGTAGTGGGCAGAGGAGCCAGGGAGATGCCCGTGTTCTGTTTCCTCGTGGAAACCAGCTGAGGCTCCTTAGCCCTCAAAGTCCCTCCCCCTCCCACGGGTCCTGGAAGATCATCACCCAGATGCCCTGGGCACGTGAGCTGCCTGCATCTCTGGGTCTGAGTGATGACAACTGTTGCTCAAAGCAGCACACAGAGAGGAGGAGAGCAGAGCTGTGAGGGAAAGGAGGAGCAAGCTGAGAAAGGCTGAGGGCAGGGACTGGACCACTGTCCACACTCACTCTGTGCCATGTACAAGCTGCTCTCTTCACAGCTTCTGGGTGGGAAGAATCACTCAAATCTGTCTGTGCACTTCCTTTCTCATTTGCCTTCTACACAGCATTCCTCTGCTGTGTTGGGCCATGTTCCGCTGCCATTGTGTATTCTTTCAGCATCCAGAAGCTTTAAGAGCAAAGAGGGCTGCACACAGAGACAGCAGCTATGATGGTGGGGCCGAGAGGCGGATGCTTCAGACAGAAATCGTGCAACTGTGAACTGTGAATCGTGCAGCTGCTGATTTGTGCCTCCAGACCCATGGAAATTCAAAATGAAAGCCATTCTTCTAGGGAATATTGCACAAAATTAGAAAACGTTATTCTTTACTTAGAATGGAGTTTCACCACACTGCCTCTGTTGTTCCCTATTCTGTAGCAGGCAGAAGTACATCTGACCACTGTTTCAACAAGACTTCCTTCTCTGTGACTGTCTCAGTGATTTTTCATGATTTCACTTATTTCCATTTGTCTCTCCCTCACCTATTTTGAGTTTTGTTTATTGATGCAATATGTAAAATGTGATTGAAAATATAGTGAATGTTTAAATTTTTTAAAATATTATCATAGTACAAGACACATTGCCATAAATCCCCCTCAAAATACTCCCCTTGCTTCAAACACATGTGTCCCATTGTTCTTGTCACTTTCTGCAGCAGCTCTGGAGTGCTCTATCCTGAGTGTCTTTAGTTGTGCTGTCCTGGCTGCCTCAATGTCTTGGATCTATTCAAAATATTTGTCTTTCATGATGACTGTGACTCTGGGGAAGTCAGAAGTCACATGATGCTAGATCCGGTGAAAGGTGGATGAGGACACACCATCATCTTTTACGAGCTTGCCTTTCTATTGGATGACATGCAGCATCCCTACTCACGATATTTTTTATCTCGTCTTGTAAAGACATGAAGAAGACTTCCAGAACCTCTTCAGAAAGTGGCAAGAACGATGGGATAAGTGTGTTTGAAGTGAAGGGAAGTGTTCTGAGGGAGGATTAACGGCAGTGTCTTTACTGTAATAAACTTTTTATTTAAACAATAATAACATGTTGATCATATCTCATATATTAACCTTCCATCACTCAACCACATATGATTATTAATGATTTCTGGTTTAATTGGATTTAATGAAACACACAAGGTGGAAGGGTGGCAAAAATTCAGACGCGACATGACTCATAATCAATTCTGTCTTTTATTCCTTGATGGTGTTTTGACTAGAGATCATTATTTTTCTAGAAGTTTGAAGCATTTAGTCCCCAATGAGAGAAAAGATACCCATATCCTGGAATTCTAGTTCCCCAAAAAAGAAAACTATATTTATGTTCCTACTTCTTTGACATTTAAGTCAATTTTTTCCTCCTTCCTCCTCAGCAATTCACAGCTTTAGGGATGAATCATAGCCATGAACCAAGATAACTAAAATTAGTCCAGTGAGATTGGGACAACATTTTGTTGAAGGTTTTCAACTCCCATCTCCTCAGAAATGTTGGGGAGAAGCACCCCTACAATTTGTGTTGTTTTTCTTTTATTCTTTTTCCTTTTCTAGTTGCCCAAGACATCTTGATGGTTTGTTTGCTGGGGCTGGTTTTCATCTGCTGATAATGTTAGTGGTTGAGTTGTGTTTAATGTTAGACTTTAATGCTACAAAGCCTGAAGTCAGTCAGGCATTCTGGAGTTAGGAGTCTTGAACATGAGGTCCATCTTTGTAGCTAATTCTGAAAACTTTTGTTTCTGTCATTCTCTTCTCTTATCCCATAGCTATGAGCAACACCCTTCAGCCCACATCACTAGCTTTTCCCCTTCCTTCGTCATTAACCAACAGTGGATTTGAAGTGGCTTATCACCCCAGAGTGTAATGCTTTCAAAATGAGCATATGAATACGGAATAGTAAATTTTCAGGCAAGTAGTGGAGATGTAGCCAGTTTTCTCAAAAGAAGTCATCACAGCTTGGCTCCAATGAAAAACAAGTTTTTAGTTAGACTTGTGTTATACGGTATTTATTCTGATGCTGAGACTACTGCCCACTACTATGATGAATTAAAACCAAACCCAAATCACCCTTGGACCTGCCTTCAATATATTATAGAAGGAACTTTTTTAAAATGATAGTAAGAGAGCTGGCTTTTTCAAAAGGATTCTAAAGTTAAATTCCAATATCCAGTAATCTGAGGAAAGTAACACTTTAAAATTTCTTCATGCTGGTTTATCCCTTTACCCTGCTAATAAGAAAAAAATTTTCCCCTGAAAGAAATACTCTTTATTATTATAGACTTTGGAACACCTCTGAAACTGGTGAGAAGGACGTCGGGCTTTGGCAAGAGCTCTTAGCAATTTTAATAACACATCTAACGAAGGCTTCAGGAAGTTTTTGTCCATCCATAATGTTAACCCCCTTCTTTTTTTTCTTGACCCCTAGTCTCCTTGTCTTTTCCTTTTTTTCCAGTTTGTCTTAGATAAGTTGATGAAATACTAAATAACTCTGTTTTAGGTAACTGGTTTAATATCTCTGAATCAGCCCAATTAAATGAGAGTCTTGGGCTTTTTGCAG